ACAGCCCACTGTTCCCCGTGACTGGTGTCCACCCCTGGACAGCCATCAGCAGAGCCTCCCTCCTCCCCTCCTCTCCCCAGCCCAGCCCACACCTAGCACAGGGCTCTTTTACTCACAGGACCACCTCCCCTCTCCACCAAGTTTATGTGAAACAAATTGTTAACCTGACCTCATCAATCCCCAGTCTGGACCTCACACTGGGATTTAAACTGGACTCACGGAAGCCAGGGAGGTGGCAGTAGTGGTAACAGGCAATTATTGTTGAGGAAACACAAGAAGAAACGGTGGAGTCTGGAGGGAGTCATGAGCTTTAGGATTAAAAGCTCCAGGTCTCAGGAACAGAGGACCCAAATTCCTAACTCTGAGGTTGACCTTGGACAAGTTAATTAACAGTGCATAAGACGAAATAACAATACCAACTGTACAAGGGTCACTCTGAAAAGGGGCCGGGGAACCATCTACCATGTAACCTATGACAGTGATTGAGAGCATTTGGATGAATTAGGTTAGAGCCCTAGAAACCTGAGTGGGTCTTTAACTGGTGAAAGCGGAAGGGCACATTTTGTGGCCCTCTGAGGACCCTCTGTGGACCCCTTGCAGATGGCGGGCACCCACCCTGGCATCTCCCACTCCTGCTCCATCTGGCCTCAGCTGCCAGAGCAGAATCCAGGTGGCATCCAGATGGCACCACAGCAATGCGGTGCTCAGAGATGCTATCAAAGACCCACGCCTTCTCGTCTTCGGCTCTGCTATCTTTAATCCTAGCTTATTGCCTCATGGTCACAGGACGGTTGCCACAGATACAAGCATTACTTCCTCAAGCAGCCACAGTGAACGCAGATGTGGGCTAGCTTCTCCCACTGTTTGTCATCACTTGTCCTGGATCACATGCTACTCTACACTGAATGTGAGCGCCGGGAATGGAATTATGCCTGGGTCAGACCAAACATGCTGCCCCCAATATGTTGTCATCAATAATCTTGTGGTTCTGCAAACTAAACAGGACGGGAGGACAATGCACATTATCTTTCACTGTCTGCGTGACTGTTAGAGAGAATTTTCAACTAATAATCTGTGTCCCAGGGATCACTGGCTTGTACATAAAGATTGGTTCTTGGGGGATTAAAAATGGTGGCAGTGTAAGTGGAAGCTACACTGACACTCTCCCAGGACCAAACTGAAAATACAACTAAAATACAGAAAAACCACCCTGAAAATTCAACTGAAGACCAGCTGGAGAGAACCCTGATAACCAAGTGCGGAAAGCGGAGACCATCTAGAGACTGGCAGGAGGGAGGAGATGCTAAGGCTGGCTGGGCGCCCACAGACAGCAGCTGAAGGTTTAGAGCCGCGGTTCTCAACCTGTGGACCACAACCCCTTTGTGGGTCTATCGACCCTTTCACAGGGGTTGCCTAAGACCATCGGAAAACACATATATAATTACATATCGTTTTTGTGATTAATCACTGTGCTTTAATTCTGTTCAATTTGTAACAATGAAATTGGGGGTCACCACAACATGAGGAACTGTATGAAAGGGTCGGGCGTTAGGAAGGTTGAGAACCACTGGCGTAGAGGAATATTTCAGCTGTGTAGGGTTCCCACTGAGAACCCTGAGGTCTAATCCCCAAACTGGGCTCCGAAGCCCAGAGCACCAGAACTGAGAAAGGTGTCCACAGAACATCTGGCTGCGAAAAGCAGCGGGGTTGCTGTCCGCCAGGGAAAGATGGCTGGAAATGTAGGCACCCTCTTAAAGGGCCAACACACAAAATTTCAAGTGCAGCCATTCACCTTGGACCCCAGCAGAGGGAGGGCAGAGTGGACTGGAGCTGTGTGAGGAGAGTCCAGGGTTGGGAGCTGACAGAAGCCGGTCTATCCTTGCTGCTTGACACAATCGCTGCAGGAAAGAAACATCTGCACAGCATATAAAATCAACTGGTATAAATACGGATGTAACAAGACAATAAACAGCAGAACTTCTCTGGAGATCCAGACCAGAACTTGGCTGGAGATCCTGGCTAGGCTGCTGATCAACTGAACGCTGTCTCCGTGTCATTCCTTCTTTGCCGACTCCGTCTACACCTTTGGGGACCCCTGGACCTGCTGGGGTTGGACCCTGGCAGGGAGCTCTGGGGTGTAGCCACCTGTTTCCTGTGCTGAGTCATTTCCTCATGCTGGAGAGGACATCTTTCTCCTACCTCAGCTATCCAGGGGTTTTGGCCTGGGGGAAAGGCAGTCACCACACCCTGTTGGAAGAGCTTTCACCCCACCCTATAGTCCATAGCCTAAGGCCAATCAAGGCTAATTACAGTCACACTGCAGGCAGAGGAAGATCTTTGGAGGCTTTGTCTTTGCCTGATCTCCTTCTGGGCCTGGGGCTTGAAAAGGCAGAGTCTGGTGCACATCTTGGTCCTTTCCAAAGGCACCCAGCCACAACAGAGGGAGCCACAAGCTGTGCATTGCTGATAGCTCCAAACAGGGTACTGAGGGCCAATCAGAAACAGCATCTGACATTGTCCTGCACTAGAGATTGGGAGTCATAGCAGATTTACCTAAAACACAGACACAAACTCAAACAGGCAGCAATAATGCGGAGACAAAAAAAACAACCCCCAAATGAACAAACAAGAGAATTCTCCTGAAGAAAGATAAATGAAATGGAGATAATAAATTTATCTG